ATGCACGCCTGGTGTTCATGGAGGTCAGAAGAGGGTTTAAGATCTCTTGGAAACTGGAGTAATGATCCCTGGGAGCCGCTCTGTGGGAGCTGGGAACTGAATCCACCGGTGCTCTTAACCACTGAGCCATCTCCGTAGGCTTCGTGTTCGAGACAGGATTGCACACTGTAGCCACGCTAATGGGGAACTCACTCTGTAGCTCAGGCTAGCTTTGCCTTTGTGGTAATCATCCTGTCTCAGCCTCCCTAGTACTGAGATTACTGACGTGAGCCACTGCACTGGGCTTAATTTTTTGTTGTTTTGTTTTGAGCTTCTCCGGTCCCCTTCCACAGCCCCAGATTTGGCCAGAGTTTCCTCCCATGGAAGCCTGTGTAGGAGGAAGGGAAGGGAGAGGTCAGGCTCTGGTTAAAGGATTTGCTGTGTAATAGAGGCTCTCTTCCATGAAGGAGAGATCATGGCCAGCTGATCAAAGGCTGGCTTTAAATATTTAAAGAGCTGTTTACTGAAGTATAAAATATGACAAGTGTTTTGCATAAAGATACTTCAGCAACAGAAAAGAAAATGTCGTTTAGAGGCAGTAAGTGTGGCAGAGTCCCGTAACGAATTAGTGTGAGCTTATGGAAATTTATTTGCCTACTGTCTGCATTAAATGTTCATTTTGTTAAAGCGGGTTAGAATGGGAACCCATAAACAAGAGACGAATGTCTCAGCACTTCTTTACGTACACTCACGCATATTTTCGTGATGAGGTCTCCTAAACCAACTTGTCTCCTTTTCATGAAGCGTTCTTCCTTTTTTTTCCCCAGGGTCCCTTTTCAGCTCTGTGCTGAAATGACTGCATGGGAACTGATTAACTCTTGACTGTTAATTCTTCTTCCTCACTTTCAAGCCTTTAAGCTGCCTCAGCAGGGTCAGCTGTCCTGGCGCCAGCCCTTCTTTTCTGTGCTGGTGCTCTTCCCCAGTCTGAGACTTGCTGCGCATGCTCAGAAGCACTTGGCTGGCGGAACCTCAGTCCCAGTCACCACCTTACTTCCTGTGCCTGTTAATACTAGCGTGTGTTTATTTACTTTGGTTTTGTTTTTGCTTTCGAGACAGAGTTTCTCTGTGTAGCTTTGGAGCCTGTCCTGGAACTCGGTCTGTAGACCAGGCTAGCCTCGGACTCACTAAGATCTGCCTGTCTCTACTTCCCGAGTGCTGAGATTAAAGGCCTGTACTACCACTGCTGGACCTGTGTTTGTTTACTTACTTCTATTATTTTTTTGTTTGTTTGTTTCTGATCTCCACCAATGTATTGTGAGCTCCTCCAGGTGAGGGTTGTTTCCCATTTACCTAGGCATCACTAGCTGTCTGGGCACTGAGGAGTCAGGAAATGAATAAACTGATTTTGTTCTTGAAATTATTTAGGGTCTCTTCTAGATAATGTACCCAGTGTCTTTATGAATTAATCATTTTGTTTATGTGTTAGCCTCTTCAGAGTCCAGAAGTTATTTCAGGAAGGGAGACTTGCCTTTGTTTTATTATGTCGTGACTATTATTACTAAGGAGACCCATAGTGTTTGAGATAGCAAATAAATACTAAGTGTGCCTGTTATATAGTATATAATATATACTAGTCCATTTTTCATTGCTAGAACACCTAAAGAAAAAAAAGGCTTGTTTGGACTCAGTATTCTGGTAGTCTAAGGTCAAAGACCAGCGTCTGGTGATGGGATGGACTTCTTTGGGAAGGGTCCTGGGTCAACCCAGAGCATCATATGGCAGGAGACAGAGATGAATGTATGTGTATCTTCTCTAGAGCAAACTGACTAAGAACTCATAGAGATCTGCCTGCCTCTGCCTCTAGAGAGCTGAGGCTGAAGGCCTATGCCCCACTTATATCTACATTTTGATCAAAGGAGACAGGCCACGCTAGACACTCACTGCGGCTGGGCTGGAGGTTCTGTGAGTGCAGGCAGGTGGGAAAGCCCAGCCCCATTCTGTATGCAGGAACTGTTGCTTGCTCACTTCTGTTTGAGAAACATATTTCTGGGAGCTAGGGAACCTTGCCCGCTTCGGAATCTCTACTGATGGCTTTGGATTCCTACTTCAGCCTCCACTATAGAAGTCACCAGGTTTACAGTCAGATACCAAAAGTACCAAGGGTTATCTTGACTTTCCCAGTGAATGACACAAAGCATGCGTGTTTTCATACGCAAGCCCTTCCCACATCTGTAATTTTCCCTGCTCTTATCCTAAAAGAAGCTGTGACTTTTAAATTCCACTCTTTTTCTTTTCGATTTGAAGCTGATTATTCACAGCCAGGTTCATTCTCCATCCATCTTTGGTGAGGCTCACCCAGAGATCTCACATGACACTAAATACAGTGCGGGGAGTTTGCTCAGCTGGCCGCTGGTCCACACTTCTAAAGAAAGAAGAAAGTTTTTATTTTTATTTTAAAGAAGAAAAATATCAGGTGATCTGGTTAATCAGATCGGCTGTGCTGTTTTGCCCGTTTATTTAGAAAACACCCTATGAAAAGAGTTATTGAATCTTTAAGCTCCAGGCAGGGTATTAGGTTCTTGCTTCTTGTAGATTGTGCTTGAGACAAAGCAGAAAAGGTGTAGAGTGAGCATGGCTGGCAAAGAGCCTAATTGAGAGCTTCCGTTGTAGTTGCTGAGTCAGAGGGAAACAACACCTCATTATCCCCTTTCCTTTCTGTGTTCCTTGGCTAATACACGTCCTGTTGCCTGTCTTGCCTGCTGTGGTGGGGGGATATCTGGATACAGTCTTCGCATGACCCAGGCTAGCCTTGGACTGGCTCTGTAGCTGAGGGTGACCTTGAACTCCTGATCCTCCTGCTTCCACCTAAGTGTGAAGATTACATACAAGAATGTGTCACCACACTTGGTTTTATATGGCCATGATGTGTCATGTGGGATGTGTCAGAGATCAAACATAGGGTTTCATATTTGCAGGGCAAACACTCTCTCAGCTAAGCTAATGACCCACTCTGTGCAGTGTATATATGGGTCTGTTTCTAAATTGATTATTGTTATTTTCTACCATATTCTTGAAGGAGCTAGCAAGGGTACAAATCGCACGTCATGGTCTCTCCAAAGATAACACAATAATGATTACACATATGAGAGTGTGCTCAACATTAGTTCTTAAAGAATCCACATGAGATACCACCTCACATCCATGAGAATGACTCCTCATGGAATCAGTCCAACCCCTTAGGAAAAGTCTCTCAAAAGGCTCAGAGGTTTTCCTTCTTTCGACGAGTACTCGAAAGAAAGAACATATTTCTATACAAGTGTGAAAAGAACCCAAATCAGCTGATAGAAAAGTGTGGGATATTTATATTGTGGAATATTATTTATCCATAAAAAAGAAATACATATTTGTGATATAATACGAGTGAAGCTTGAACGCATCTTGCCAAGTTAAAGAAGTCAGAAATAAAGGCTATAGATTGTATTTTTGTATAATATACAGAATTAGTAAACTACAGAGACAGAAAGAATGGTGGTTCTCAGGGCAGGCAGAAATAGAGCATGGTTGCTAATGGGCATGGGATTGGAGGATAGTAAAACTTTGCTGGAAATAGAGGGTGGTGATAGTTTCATAGTCCAAACACACTAAAAACTACTGAACTGTATATTTTAAAAGGTTAGGGGCTGGGGATTTGATTCAGTCAGTCAGTGTTTGCCCAGCATGTACAAAACCCTGTGTTCAACTCCCAGCACAGCATAAACCAGGTGTGGTGCTGGATGCCTGTAAGCATTTGGGTGGTGGAGGAAAAAGGATCTGAGGTCCAGGGTCATCCTTGGCTACATAACCTTCCAGGCAGCATCAGATCCTGTCTGAAGAAAAGGGCATGGGGCAGATTTATGAAACATAAGCTCACCTCTGTTTAAATAAAGGAAACCTCACAGTTACAGGCTTTACAGTAAGGATGTTGAAACAAGAAAGATTTTAACATCTTTCAGTGAGACCACTATGCACTGGAGCTGTGGAGATGGCTTAGCGGTTAAGATCACTGGTTGATCTTCTAGAGAACCTGGGTTCGATTCCCAGAACCCCAATAGTAGCTAGCAACCCTTTGCTACTCCAGTTCCAGGGGTTTTGTAGGCGCCAGGCATACAGGTAGTTCACAGACATGCATGTGTGCAAAACACCCATATACATAAATATATAAAACAAAAAGAGCAAAAAGAAATAGGAGTCATTAGATATCGTCAGGGGGATAAGGTGGTTCAGCTACTTTGGGAAACAGTGTGAGTGTGCAGCTCAGCAGCTCCATGACAGCGTACTTAATGAAAAGAAATAAAATATATATATCGGGGCTGGTGAGGTTTCTAAGCGGGTAAAGGTTCTCTCCTCACCAAGGCTGAGTGCAGCCCTGGAACCTACGTGGTAGAAGGAGAGAGAAACAGCTCATGCACATCTCTCACCTCACACCATAACATGCACGCGCACACTCACAGTGGCGTGTGTGCTCACACATGTGCAAAGTAAGAAAACAGTGTATATTGATGTTAAACCCTGTGAGTGGAAGTTCAGCACTGCTTCCATCTGTGGTTGCCAAAAGCTGGAAGCGAGGGAATCCTCCTCAGCAGCAAACCTCCTGCTACCTGGGGACCAGAACTGTGCGCGGATGATTCTGTGGGGTGACGTTTCCAAGAAGGCAGAGCCAGGTAGAAACCCAACACATCGGTGCCCAGTGGTTGCTCACTCCGAGCTCACTCAAGCTCATTCGCAGTAGCGGTAGCAACTGCGGAAAAACTGACCTAAGGGATTATTTTATGGTGATGGAAAATGTTCTAAAACTGGATTGTGGTGGTTGGTTATACAAATGTTTAAATATACTAAGACTGTTGGGTTGGATGGGTTTTATGGTATGCAAACGAAACCTCAAAAATTGATTTTTTTTTGAAAAATTAACAGTCAGTCTCAGACTTTGGATATTTAAATTTGGGGGAAAAAAAAAAAACACAAATAACTTCTCTCCACCATAGACCCGGCCTCCCGCTGACGCCAGCTTCAACTTTGATGCCAACAAGCAACAGAGACAACTCATTGCGGAACTGGAAAACAAGAACAGGTGAGAATGTGGCCCTCTCACCTGTCTCCCACGGCCAGGAACATCTTCTGTGTGGTCCTCATCATCGCCTCACAGACTGCTTGACTTGTTTGCTTGCCCTTTTTCCTTCTCTGAGATGGTCCCTTGTAACCCGGGCTGACAGGCTGTAACACAAGCTAACTTTGCTACCTTGACCCTCCTGCCTGCCCCCTCAAGTGCTAGGATTACAGACATATTACCATACCCAGCTCTATACAACCCCTCAGTAGACAGGAGTAGCTCAGAACCGGAAGATAACACTGCATGCTGTTGGTTCAGATTGTCCTACGCTCTGATCTACCTCTAGAGGGTCTCTGTCTGGGGACTCCTTCCATCCACCAGTGTGTCCCTCACAGTTCCTTGCCCCACTCCTTCCCAGTAGCTTTTGCTTTGTCTTAGCAGCTTTTCGTGGCCTCTTACACTGCATGTTACCAGTCTCACTTTATTTTAAAAGGCCATTGGCTTTAAAAAAGCCAAATGGTTGCTAAAAGACCTGGATATCACACATTGCACCACTGTGCAGTGAGAGGTAGAAACCAGAACCAGGAGACTGGCCCTTGTGTAACATGCTCTGGGGAGGAACTGGCAGCAACCTCCAGTCAGGAGCCAGGAATCAAGTGAAGGGAGAGAGAGTGGAGGAAGCATTGGGAAGTCCGCATAGGACTAGGACCTACGTCAGGAGGTTTTAAAGAGTTCTTTCCCTGAAGTGGAACAGGGTAAATAAAATGTTGCAGTTGTCAATTCCCCTTCCTGGAGAGGGTTCAAGGTCTTGAGAAGAATGTCATCTCTGGGCAGAGCACCTGAGGAGGCGTCAGGTGAAACTGTTGAGAAAGGTATCCATTTCCCACTTGAAGGATTAGTAGCCTCAGAACAGAGGGTAAAGGAGGCACTGAGGGGGTGAAAACATCTAATGGGAAGAAAGAACTGTCAGACACTAACGGCGCCTCTTGCCATCTCAGAGAGATCCTGCAGGAGATCCAGCGCCTACGGCTGGAACATGAGCAGGCTTCCCAGCCCACTCCTGAGAAGGCCCAGCAAAACCCCACGCTGCTAGCGGAGCTGCGCTTGCTGAGGTAAGTGTGCATCCAGCCGCTCCCAAACAACAGCCTGTGGTGGGAATTTCCGGGCTAGAATCTGTTCATTAGTAGGCTGCCTAAGAGTTCCATCCAGCACACGGGAGAATGACCAGACCCGTAATGAGTCATTTTCCTCTCTACCGCAGAAACACGCGTGTTCCCACAACAGAAACACGTGTGTTCCCACAAGTGTAGACATTATGGAAACCAAACTCAATGTCTAAGTCTTACCAGAGCTCCAGATTCTTGAATGGCGTGCCTATCTGTTCCTGTTGTAGCATTTAGAATTCTACATCTGATTCTTGATTTGGTGAGTGAGGGGTGCAGTGAGATAAGATCTCCTTCTGTAGCCCAGGCTGGCCTAGAACCTTTAGCATTATATAGTACAAGCTGGCTTTGAACTTGTGGTAGTATTCCTTCTTCAGCCTCCCCAGGGCTAGGATTATAGGCCTGAACCATAGCATCTGGGATACTCATAGCTGAATAGAACGGAATTTTTCAGTGCTTTCTTTATAGCCTTAACCGTGATTTCTTTTAGGTAGGGAACAATGATTATTAAATTTCTACTTGTATCTGTCATTTAGATTTTTATCATCATTAAATAAAGCATAAAGAGTTGAAACCAGCCGGGCGGTTTAAAGACACACGCCTTTAATTTTAGCACTTGGAAGGCAGAGGCGGGCGGATCTCTGTGAGTTCGAGGCCAGCCTGGTCTACAAGAGCTAGTTCCAGGACAGGCACCAAAAACTACAGAGAAACCCTGTCTCAAAAATTAAATAAATAAATAAATAAATAAATAAATAAATAAATAAATAAATAGAGTTAAAGCCATTCAAATCAATGCAATTAGCCAGCATCGAGTGTCCTTTTCCCCAAAGCTTCATTTCAGGCTGGACATACCTTTAAATATGTCAGTGCATACCTTTAATCCAGCACTCGAAGCAGAAGCAGGAGGATCTCAATGAGTTCAAGGGCAGCCTAGACTACATAGTAAGTTCCAGGCCAGCCATGGATGAATAGGAGAAACAAAACTTCATTTGAGTTTGGGATTTAGTTGGGCTGTGTTTTTGGTGGCCCCATTGTTCACTGTCACACATAGGGTAAACGCTTTACTAAGAAGACCTGAGGAAACAGCTGCTGACTCCAGCAGAGGGGAAGAGGCAGCCATCAGCTTAAGGCACACTTGTTTCTCTTCCTCTACTCACTCGGCTCAGGTACAGATGACTATTTTTGTATCTCGAAAAGCAAAAACTGAGCCAGGCGGTGGTGGCTCACACAAAGTCCTGGGTTCAGTCCCAGCACGGCATAAACCAGGCATGGTAGTGCGTGCCTGTAACCCCAGCACTTGGGCGGCGGAGACAAGCAAATCAGAAGCTCAGGGTCACCCTCAGCTGCATAGCGTTTAAGGTCAGCATGTGATGAAGGAGACAAAGCAAGGCGGAATCCGCTTGTAGCTATTTCATGCCCTTTTGGTTTTGGCCTGGATGTGTGAGTTCAGGACCTGCCAATCACAAAGCTTTGTTTCTGATGGGATCCTTCCTCCTTTCCGACAGGCAAAGGAAAGATGAACTGGAGCAGAGGATGTCAGCACTGCAGGAGAGTAGGCGGGAGCTGATGGTCCAGCTGGAGGGGCTGATGAAGCTGCTAAAGGTAAGAACCTGTATGCTCTCCTCCCGCTGGGACTGAGGCTTGACTGCGGGGCCTGCAGACCGTTTTCAAGTAAACTTGTGTAAGTGTAGCCCGATTGGGTATCAGTCATTGAAATTAGATAGCGCCTACGAAATGCCTCAGCTGTAAAGGCGCTTGCTGACAAGCATGATGGCCTGGGTTCAAACCCTAGGGCCCATAGCGTGGAAGGGGAGAACTCGCTCCTGCGAAGGGTCCTGACTTCTGCATGCACATACACGTACACATATACACACAGCTAATAAATGTAAATAAATAAAATAATAGCATTAGGAATAGAGTAATGTTCTTAAGCAGTTGCTTTGGCTCAGTGGTTAAGAGCACTCTCTGCTCTTCCAGAAGACTCACATTCTATTTCCAGCCCCCACATGCAGCTCACAACTGTTTGTAACTCCAGTTCCAGGGGATCCAACCCCCTCTTCTGGCCTCCATGGACATCAGGCCCACAAGTGGTGAACATAATAAATGCAAGGAAAACACTCACATACATAAAAGTAAAATAATTGCAAGTAAGGTTATTTGTCAATCAGGTATTAACTATGTATAAGTGAAAATTATTTCTCAACTAAGTTTCTTTTAAGACAAGTTTTCAAATAGCCTACCTAAACATTTGACAAACGTCAATTGTCCTCTTTTTAATAAGAAATACAGCAGCAAACTGTGTTAGGATGTTTGCAGAGAAACAGCACCGACAGGATTTTTATAGCTATATAAGGGGATTTATATGGCAAGTGGCTTGCTCCATCATGGAGGCAGAGGACTCTGCTAGGGAGACATAGGAAAGCCATGGTGTGATCCAGTGTGTCTGGAGGCCTAAGAACCTGGGGTCCTGACTTTGTCACCCCAGTCAGTTCAGAAGGTGACTTGTAAGGAATGGGTGTTGGGTCGACCTTACTCCTGAAGTCTTGGTGGGACAAAGCCAGGAGAGCCCCAGTAGAGATAAGAAACACTGCTCCCCAAGAGAGAACACACTTGTTTTCTCTGCCTTCTGGTTCTATCCAGTTCCTCTGTGGTCTGGATGGCATCTTTCCCTGTTGGCTGGAAGCAGATCTTCTGCTCTTGGTCTGCTAGTTCCGGTACCAAGCTCTTTTCAGTATTCTCAGGGACAGGCCTGGGAGTATTGTATTTCTGTGGATATCCGTTAGCACGGTCAGGTGGACACAAAGGTAAACATTACATAAACTAGCTTACTCATCCTGATTCCGAATAGCGACTTTACTGGGTGGTGGTGGCGAATCAGAATATCTAGGGTTAGTGTATAGGGGAAGGGAATAAATTCATACTTTCCATTTTTCCACTTTTTGCTGAGAAGTACATTATAGCCCCTTACTCTAGATAAGAGGAAGGCAATGGTTGACATTAAATGCCCCCTCCTGCACAGTGTGTTTGCGCTGAACACTCAGTGGATTGTCTAGCAGAGATTCGAGGATGGTTGCCTGTGCCCGTGTGGTTGATGTTCAAGGCTGTGCCCCCACCACATCATACAGTGTGCCACACAGTTCACTGAAGAGAGGCAGCTAAATCTGTGACAAAGAGGAGTTGTTAAAGATTTAAGAAAAAATAAGTTTGAGACAATACTTGGCAAGCTAGAAGAGCAAGAGACCAAATGACAATAGGAGACTCGTGTAATCACGTGACCAGGCCAGAGGTAACAAAGGTCCAGCTAGGAGTGCTAACTCGAGAAAGCTGGAGCTGAGACGTCTCCTCAATGTCTACATGGTCAGCCAGCCCCTTAGTAGCAATAAAGCGGGTTCTGGCGACTAGCAGGAGTGTCATGTTTGTGTTGGAAACTGATGTTTTACTTCCTTAAGCAATTACTTCTTTTAGTCCTGAGCTGAGGTTTTTTTCCCTCGCTTGGTCCTGGTATTTGGTTTATTTTACATGGATGGACGTGCTTCTGCACAGACCCTGTTACAGATTTCCCCTCAGAAACATTTGACATGCAAGGGAGTCTAATTTCAAGAAAATCTTATTCCAGAATCTTGGTTGGTCCAGTTCCCTGGCGATGTCGATCCTCAGCTCAGGGGCCCCATCCCCAACTCACAGCAGCAGCTGTGTACATAAACATTTGTCCCATGTGATACCTCTCGCCTTGTGAGGTGTTGAAAACTCCACCGTATGGAACTGGCACACTTGGAGGCCAGGAGATGCTGTGAGCGTGCCCCTCCTTGTGTCAACCCCTTTCAGGGAGAAGTGCCCACACGTAAATGGGCAGGTGCCCAGCTGTGATTTTTGGTTTGCTTTACTTTGGTCCTTCTATGTACCTTAGCTGGCCTGGAATTCAGAGATCTGCCTGCCTCTACCTCTCAAGGACTGGGGTTACTGTGTACCCCTGTGCCCTCTTCTGACCCTCTGAGTGCACCTGTATGCACATGGTGCACACATAGACAAACAGGTGCACACACATACACATAAGTAAAAAATAAATCATAGACCAGATGTGGTGGTCCATGCCTTTAATCCCAGTACTTAGGAGGCAAAAGCTGGGAATCTCTGAGTTCAAGGGCAACCTGGCCTGCATAGTGAGATTCTGTCTCAAAATAGTGATAATAATTATTATTAATTATTATTATGTGTATATATTTTTCAAGTTTCTAGATGTCATGTTAAATATTTGCTGAATATTGACTAGACTCAGTCCCTGTCACCAAGGAGTGTCTACAGTCTTCTCATTAGTTTTTTTCCCTTAATGATATAATGTCATTGACACTCGGGTACCATGTTCTGTACGTTTTCTTTATATTTTTTTCTTGATTATCAATATGTAACTAGCCTCTGTCTCAAACTACTTATTTAATCTATAAGTAATTATATGTCAGTATTTCTGCTCCTAACTCTTGTTTCCAACATTTTTATTTCATTCTAATTCTCAAATTTTGCTTTTGTGTTTGTTTTTTGATACAGACTACCATAGGACTTACCTGTAGCTCTAGGCTGGCCTTGAACTCATGATCCTTCTGCCTCAGCGTCTCAGAGTTCTGGGATTGCAGGCATCAACCCCTATGCTTGGACTAGATTGTCAGTCTCTTTGTAGAAGACGGCAGTTCCTATGCTATTACTACTTCTACCACATGGAAGAGATAGCTTCATGTGTTTTTAGGGAACAAACTCTTCTAGATTTGTGCCCCATCACTAAGATGTTATGACCCCTTTGAATCAGGTTAGTACTGTCTCTTGTCATCCACCAGTCCATGTTGACTGGTCCTAGCAAACTAATACAGAATGCTCTCCGACCTTATATCTGACCTTTTTAATGTGTTGACAGAGCCCTAAAGGCTTTATGTGACTAGCTTTTGTGAATTTGGGTACCACCAGCCTAGGGAACACTTTGCCAGAATCTACTCTTTTAACATTGCCGTGTTCATCAGCCCATTCTAGCCTGACCCAGGTCTCCCAGATAAGACAGAATGGTGTTATGTCCTGGGACAACCTACACGGCAGAGTGAGCATGGTGTGGTCTTGAAACATTGTTTCTGAAATGTCCATACTTCATTTCATTTGTTTTTTTTCAAGACTGATCTTGAGACAGTCCTTTTCCCTGAACCTCCCAAAGTGCTGGGAATACAGGTATGAGCCAGCACAGCACCTTCCCTGTTCTGTTAAGCCAAAACTGTGGTTTCTTCAATACCAGACCTGAGGTACATGGTGATACTTAGTGTTCTCAGTACAGTCAGGATTGCAGCCTGTGAAGAGTGTCCCACCCTCCCAATTGGTCTCACTACATAAGCATGGCTATCCTGGAGCTCACTAGGAGTTCACTGTGTAGACCAGGCTGGCCTTGAACTCACAGAGCTCCATCTGCCTCTGACTCCTCAGTGCTTGGATTAAAGTTGTGTGCCACCACACCCAGCCCATCTCAGTTTCTATTTCAACAAGTAGTGTTAGCAGTTTCTAAATTGTATAATGCCTCTCCTACGGCTGCTTTCTTGCCCATCGGGAGTTGGAGATGAACTTGCCTCAGAGAAGCATCCTTCCAAGCTGCATTAGTCCCTCCCTGCTGCAGGTATGCTGGGAAGCCTCTGACTTCTCAGGTGACCCAGGCAGTACTCAGGGTCTCTGGTCTGACTACTAGGTTTAAATCCCAATGCAGGCAGCTGGCTTTCATCGTAAAAATCTCCTTTCCCAGGGCTGGAGAGATGGCTCAGTGGTTAAGAGCATTGACTGTTCTTCCAGAGGACCTGAGTTCAATTCCCAGCAACCACATGGTGGCTCACAACCATCTGTAATGAGATCTAGTGCCCTCTTCTGGCCTGCAGGCATACATGAAGGCAGAATGTTGTATACATAATAAATAAATAAATCTTTAAAAAAAAGAATCTCCTTTCCCAGCTAAACTGGGCCTCAAGGGATTTCTTGGTGCTCACCAAATTTCGAGTTCATATCTGCCTCTCCCTTGCAATAATAAAAATATTGTCCATGTTCCCCCCTCTCCTGTGCAGTTCCTTTGCTGCACCAAATCACTCTGCCCTCACATCCAGACTTGCAGCCCCTTCAAGAGCAGGAGCATATCCATTCCTGTGTCCCTCCACCCATGTACCGTGGAGACCACTGCACCTGTGGACCCAGTGTAGATGGAGCCATCATAGCCACATACTGATTTATTTACTGGGGCACATTGGAGGCTTCCTGACCACAGTTGCCCATGATGAGGCACAAAAAGAAAAAGCAAAGAGACCAGAAAGTCAATGACTGAGGAGTTCAGGACCAAGACAGGAGTCACTCTAAAGGTTTCTCTTGACTCCGTTCATCTTTTTTTCTACAGTCCTTGGTACTGCATTCATCTGTCAACCATAGCTGGCATGTCCTGCTCTGCCTGCCCTTACTGTAAGGTTATAAAGAGAAGCCCATCTTTGTTTTCAGTGCCTTATGCAGGAGAATTACTAGATAAACCTGTGCTGGAATAATGAAGAACTGAGAATGAGAATTCCATTCTCCTCTCCCTCCCTCCGACAAGCCCTTGTCATGTATTACAAGTTGTCCTAGAGTGTAGCTTCCTCTTGCCTCTGCCTTCCCAGTGCTAGGTCTAAAAGCATGCACCACAATGCCTAGCTCTAAGATTCTTTTTCCCCTTTCCCTTGGAGGGGGATTATGTTTTATCTTATTTGTTTTATTGTGACATGGCCTCACGTATTCCAGTTTGGTCTTTAACTCACTTTGTGGCCAAAGATGGCCTTGAGCTCCCTATCCTTCTGTCTCCGTCTCCCTAGTGCCAGAGTTACAGTCATGAGCTACCATATCTACGTACCATATATGTAGTGCAGGAGACCAAACCAAGGGCTTCACGCATGCGAGGCAAGCACTCTCCCAACCAAGTTATACCCCAGTCCTTAGGATTCTTTCTCTGAAAGGTTTCCCAGGGTCCTGCACCAGTTTCCTGCTCACAGGGCAGGGGGTGGTCATGAATGTGCACCCCTGCAGGAAACAGCAAAGCAGCTCGAAAGCCGGCGGACTGGTACCGGTTCAGCTTGGTTACTACTGAGAAGAGACCAGGAGAAATGAAAACCACTTGTGGTCAGGAGGAGCCATTAGATAGGGTGATAAAACAGTGGTTCTCAGGTAGAGCCCAAGTCTCTTGGGGCCCATTTTGAGGTGTCCCACCCCCATCAGAGCTTTGACTTAGTGGAGCTCAGGTGGAGCCTAAAATTTTCATCTCTGAGAAGTTCCCAGAGAATTCTAACGTTGGTGGTCCGCGTTCCACACCTGAAGAACAGCTGCCCTAGAAATATGAACCTAAATATATGTGAGTATTGTCAGTGGTGACCCACAGTGATAACTGGGATTTTAAACTAGATTAAACTTCCTCTTTCGGTTTGCCGTAAGCAGTTGAGACTGCAGGCCCTCCAGGAAGTTGAACTAAGCCGTTCCTAAGGTTCTTTGGAACCTTAAAGTCGTCATTGCATTCATTAGCTGGTTGGGACCGAGAGCCATCATTTAACTGAATCCATGCCGGTGAATCGGGCTGTTGCTCTCCAGACCTATGCTTGACCACGGTTTGCCCAGTTTCTCCTGCCGTTTCTTCTCAGTGTTTGTGGTGACGGGCATTAACTTCTTTCTTTTTCTCCTCTGCCTCTTTTCATCTTCAACACCTCTAGGAGGAAGAGCAAAAGCAGGCAGTAAGTGGACTTCAGAATTCTCTCCTCCCCCCGCCCCCGACCCCGGGCTCTCACTCCTTTGCATGCTCCTCTGTTCCTTATATAAATTTTGTACACCTTCTACTTCGCCCCATGCATCACTTGCTCTCTGAGGAGTTGGTAATGTGTAAAACCCTCAGACGTTTTCCTCCTTGGCGGTGTGCAATGCCCTCAGACTGGGTCGTGTTTACCTAAGGGAGCATGTTCTTACTTTAAACCCAAGCTTCTTTAATTTGTGCTTATTTAAATATGCATGATTAGCCAGGCTACCATTGCATTTTCATGTTCTTTTATTTTCTGCTGGTTTTGTGTCCTGAGTGACCTTAATTGCTTGAAACAGCTTCCCAGGTGGTGGGAGTGACCTCAGGTCTAAATGATACATTCTGAATGAATATGCATGAAAGTGAAGTGTTCCTTGGATGCCCGTAGATATCCTGTGGTTGCAAATAGGCCCTGGCTCCACCAGCCTTCCGACAAAAGTAGTGCTATTACCTGCTCTGAGCCTTTGGGGGCTGGGAAGCAAGTGACTGGGGGGGGGGTTCTGAATGGCATGGCTATTAATGATGCTTGGGGACAGTCGATGTTTGTTTTTGTTTTTCTTTAAAGCTGTTATCCTATGCAGGAAAAATTGAGGGCCTACTCATGATAATAACCTGGGTAAACTAAGTTCAAGAGAGAAATATAAAATGCTAATTCAAAAAAGGAATATAAAATATTTAATTTAAAAATTACTTATCTTTTGGGGCTGGAGAAATGAATGGCTCAACAGTTAGGAGCACTGACTGCTCATCCAGAGGACTCAGGTTTGATTCCCGGCACTCATATAGTGGCTCACAACTGTCTGTAACTCCAGTCCCAGGGAGTCTGTCCTCTTCTGGCTTATGGGGGTACTGCATGCACATGGTATGCATGCATGCAGGCAAAACACCTGTATACCTGAAATAAAATGAGAAACAATTCTCCATTTTTTCAGAAATACGGATTTGTTAATGTGTTAGATTTTGTAGTATGTGCATTTCCAGCTTGGAGAACATTGATGGTGAGCAGCAGAAGCAAGAGAGAATGATGAGAGGCCATCAGTGAGGGGAGAAAGCACTGGGCCCAGCTAAGGACCTAGAAATCCCATGGGCTTTAATGTAATAAGTTTGTTTGGTTTGGTTCTTGCCTGGTTTGGTTTGCCCATTTCCCTGAGCCATATATGAGTTTTTATCCATCTCTTTAATCTAATGACACTTCTCCATCAATAGGTACATTCACCTAAACAAAACAGAAAGATGAAAAATCAAACCCAGTTTTACACACTTTTACCAGGAAGTGACAACTTAATCACGCCCCTCCCCTTTCATTGATGAAAGCAAGTCACATGGTCACATTTGACAAGGAGAGGGTTGGGAGGTGTGACTCCAGCTGGTTTGGAAATCAAAGAGATAAATGGGAGAGTGAGTGACTGAGCAAAGGGCCTGAGTCCTTTCCATCCCTCCTACCCACATCTCATTCCATGTGGCCCTGCTGACATGGTGCCATTTCATCCTTAGGCCCTGACCTCCAGTGCACCCCTCCTTCTCTTCATTTCTGTAGAGCTGACAGCACCTTCTGGAGTCTCCTTCCAACGGTCTCCCTTGCTAGCACCTCCTGATAATCTCTGTCCCTGAAAGTGACAACCCAAAGGGACCCAAGAGTTATAGGGACCCTCTTCCCTGCCCAGGATAGGGCAGATGACAGCAGCAGAGCTTCCTGTGAATATTATAATTTCTTCAGTTTCTTATGAAATAGCATATACTCTACAGAATAAGAAATACCAGTGCTGGGAGGCTAATTAAATGCTGTCCTTGCTGTGTATGGTGCTCATGACTGTGATCCTGCCACGTGGGAGGCAGAGGCAAAAAGATCAGAAATTCAAGGACAGCCTTGGCTATATGAGATGCTGTCTCAAAAAAGCTAACTAAATAAATAAGCAGAACTAACCTTTAGCAGCATGATTCAAGCAAGCATACGTGCCCAGTGACTTTTTGTTCCACGTGAGATCACCATCTCTTGAAACTGAAAAAGGAATTTTCCATGTCCACCAGCCTGAGTACATAGCCTGGTCCTCACAGTCTAGTAGAACTGTGTCCATCTAGATGGGGAAATCCTTCTGTCCATCCCACAGGACTTACACTGAACTCACCCAAGGTCAGTTCTGAAGCTCCAGCTATGGCTTGAAAGACTTTACATAATTCACCATTTTTTATTTATAAGGTGAAAAGACTGTAGGTCTTTGGACCTTCTCTAGCCCATATCATTGCTGAGTGGGTCAACGGCAAAGCTTTTTAATTGAAGAATTACTTCAGGGTGGGGGTGAGCAGAGAAGCCAGGAGATCAAATCCCTGGAGCTAGAGTTACAGGTAACTGTGAGCTATCCAATGTGGGTCCTCTGGAAAAACAGCAAAAGCTCTAAACTACTAAGCTATCTCGGTGTAAAACGGAGACTGCTCATTGGTTCCTGGCCACCCAGATCCAAATAACCGCACAGAAACTATATTAATTACAACACTGCTTGGGCTATTAGCTCAGGCTTCTTATTAATTAACACTTACATCTTAAAATAACCCATTTCTATTAATCCGTGTATTGGCACAAAGCTGTGGGTTACTGGTAAGAATCCGGTGTCTGTCTCCAGCAGCTACATGGCGTCTCTCTGACTCTGCCTACTCTCTCTATATATATTCTTCCATTCTGCCCTGCCATAGGCTATAGCAGCTTCTTTATTAACCAGTGGTAATAAAGCATATTCATAGCATATAGAAGGAATCCCACAACATCACCCCTTTTCTGTCTATATAAAAAGGAAGGACTTTAATCTAGTAAAATTACATATAATAAAACAGATATCAAGCAAGAATTATAGTTACAATACTTAGTCCATTTACGTTTGGAAAATTAAGGAAAATACTCTATCATCTATCCTATCTTTGTGAATCTAAAGCTTTGTATCTAATTTATCTTTTATCATAACTAAGGAAAACCATAACTGTCTTCAACTCCTCAGAGACCCCAGAAGGATATAATATTATCTAAGTAAACAGGAAGTACATTGTAAGCAACTTCCAAAGTTCTAGAATTGATAGAGATATCTCGCTGCCTGGACAGTTACCCAAAGTTCTTCTGTAACGTTGGGACAGCCATCTTTAGCCTATAGGCCCATAGTATCTGGCAGACTTTTCCATAAAGCAGGAAATTGAAAGGCTGTTTCGTCTGTCCTGGCAGTTTGTCAGTCATTTTCTTCTGTATCTAGTTCAATATGAAGGATGATATAAAGATACAAATGAACAGATAGATAAAGAGGTACATACAACAAGGTCTAGATGGTCCCCAGTACCAGAGTTCCTTCTGTATACTGGGGCATGTAGATGTGTTCACTAACTCCTTGGTTCAGAGTGATGAGGTTCTGTTTCATAGGCTCGATTGATTCATTTACTGACCATTGGTGATCAGCTTCATTTTCGTTCCCCTTCTTCAGAGGTCTGAAGAGGGCAGCAAGTTCTAACAATCATGCTGTGGGCTTTCTGGCACCTCGCTCCTATCCTAAAGCTGCTTTAGCGTATAGACACTCTTATCGTTCTGGTCATCCCTCATCCGTGGTATGTGTGGTGGTAGGGATGAGGGAAAGATGCCCTTGTCCCTTGCCCCTACCACTTCCAGCTCGCAAGGAAGCTGACCCTTCCCTTTAGCAGCTCTAACACTTGGGAAAGCAGGCCCTGCACCTCATCTGAGCAGCACCACGGAGCTCACTCTATTGGCAGGGGGCACAGGTGAGCTGTCCTGAGAACATGAACATGGGAGAGCTGGCCCTGCCCCTCATCTGCCACATGGCAGCATGGGGCGGGGAGATGCTCTCCCCCTCAGTGCCTGAGGCAGGTGCGAGAGTTGGCTCTGAGGTCATCAGAGCAGGAAAGCTGCCCCTGCCCCCACCAGCTGCAGCACTTGGGAAGAGAGGCTCCTGCCCCTGGCCTGGGCAGTACAGTAGAGCTGGCCCGGGAGGTGGAGGTGTGGGAGAGCCGACCCTGAGGATGTGGAGGCAGTAGAACTGGCCCCACCCCTTGCTCATCTCTGAAAGGAGTGAACTAGCCAGGGCAATGAGGGAGAGCCCACCTTGGTGGTGAAGACAAGGGGAGAGCTGGTGGGCTGACTAACCCTGCAAACTACCCGGTCCTGAACCAGGGTTATAAATTTGCCCACCTCAACACGCATCCCATCTATGATCTGCTGGAGCACATGAAGGGGCCGGTCCTGTGGACCCAAAGCTGCGGGATCTTCACCACACAGGGCAACAGCAGGATAACCGGTAGGGATCCCAGTGAGGGCCCAGCATCGACAGTGTGTCAGAAACCAGAGGCCTTAAATACAGAATATACGCCAGGTCATTGTCATCCTGAGCCTTAAATGCACTCCTGCCACCCTAAAACTGAAAAACAAAATGTAACTCTTGGTGAACAGGGATTGATGTTTGGTACTTTAAGACAATTCCACAACCCTCTGCCCTGGGTTCTGGTCTCTGTGCACACAGACTGACCAGATCTAGTGGCCTGGGTTCTGGTCTCTGTGCACACAGACTGACCAGATCTAGTGGCCTGGGTTCTGGTCTCTGTGCACACAGACGACTGACCAGATCTAGCGGGCTGCAGACAGCTCTGTTCTTCGATCCCATGCATATGCCCACTGTAGGGCCCCAGCGGTTCTTTCTTTTGGTTTTGGTTTCATTTTGCAAAAAGAGGAAGTATAATTATGCTCCCATAGAGAGAGCCCCTTGAACGTCGGCAAGGAGTTTTCAGTCAGAGCGATGAAGGAGAAATAGTTCTTCCTCTGAGGAACAGAACCATGTTTTCATCACTCCAGGAAAGACAAGCTAAGAGAGAGTTCCGTCCTGTACTGTGTTTTCGGTCTTTTCCTTTCCTGACTCTAATATGTATACGATGTGTCGCCCAGGGTCGCCAGGAAACTCC